TAAATGGAAATCTGCTTAGTCTGCAGGTTTGCTGCAGCTAGGTGTGTTTTATCTTTAGTATGTTATCGCACTGGTTACGAATGGCAATAAAAACTAAATATGGCAACTGAAATCATCTATTAGGTTAAATAATGATGCATAAAGTGAAAATAATGGTTTCTGAAAATATTGAAGATAAAAGATTAGCTAGTGTATCTTATAGCATCAAAAGGAAGTTTAAGACAATTAAGTTATTATGGATATTAAGTCCACATGTAGTAATTGGCGACAGATAGAAATAAACCCTAAACAATACATCAAAAGTCTAATTCTGCATTCGAAGAAAAGATCGTTTGTTTCTGACAATAGTAAATCAGAGATGAACAACCAATTGTAACTTCAAAGAAACAAACTTCGCTTCTTATAAAACGACTACACTCAGGTTATTAATAACCTTCAATTATTGAGATATTTCGCAGACATTTCACCCCAAGACTAAAGCTTCTTGGCCGGCGTTTCATGCCCAAAGCTACTTAGGACTTAAGTCTCGTCTTTTGTTTGTCTACTACTTAACTTTCAAGGTCCGAGCGTCTTACTATTCACTTGGGACTTCATGTTTTCTCTGACTTTTCGCTTACATTAAATCGTGAAATTATACTAATCTTCGTTAAGTTTATGTTAAATTAATAATTGGCAAGAAAGAAATATTTTATTTCACTTAATCTAATTAAAACTGGTTTAAATTAATTTCATTTAAACTTTTTGTATTTCCGTTTGAATAAAAATATTTTGTGTAATCAATACTAGTGAACATAAATATAGCAATAAAGCGACTAGTTGTTTAGAGCTACACTAGTAGTTTTCACAAAGATGTCTGCACGTAAAATGTCTATAAATATATGTTCAATTTATGTAAAAGTGAAAAGTGTCATAGTAACATTAGTTACATCACACTACCAAAATATTTGTGTATGTGTTGCTGTATACGACCCATTAGGCTTAGGTGATATGGGGGAAAAATGATTCTAAAAATAAATTCAATACCAATTAAGTTTTATGAATGTTAAGAAAAATTTCTTTTAGTCTAATGATTACTGACCAAAAGTTATATTTTTTATCCCCCAGCAAAATTGTTTGAAATTATTTTTCACCTATGTCAACTATATCTAAGTTTTGAGTCCTCGCCTATACATCTGAAGGTTGCCAGATCGATCCAGAGGAACGACCAATTCTTTTGATGCAACACTTTACCCAGCTGTTAAATTGGAGTTTCTATATATGGCACTGATAAAATAGTGAAAACTTAGTCAGTAAAACAAATTCAAGACTTGTTTTTACATTGAATAATTAACATTGCCTAACTCATTGTTTATTTTAGGATCTTTTAAAAAGATTAGGTTCGTATACTATCTTAAAAAATATACACTAAAGTAACCACCAAATTATTAACATACCAAACTAAAACAAGCACTGCAGTTTTGATGAAATAAATCATTGCGTTGACAGATTTTCAGTCATGTGGATCTTTAATCATGTTACAAGACCAATTTGAATTTTTTGCAACACCATTGATTGACTAGCTTTTAGAAAACGTCTTAGTACCGGTATTATTGTATTTTATGATTTATTTAGGTATTTAGAACTATTTTAAATGTTGAAATTTTAACGTGTTTGAAATTTAGATTCCTTGATAACTTCCTTCCAACGCATGCTTCAATAATAACACCAGTACCTGGGGACCGGCTGCCGGAGGAGCGGATTTGCTCGGAGAAAATCATTAGTATACTCTGAGAGTAATCTTTGGTCCAACATTTTCCTATCTATATTATAATCAAAATCCAAATCCGAACCGAAATCCTAACGTTATCTTAAAAAAGTTTAAAGTCGGAGACAAAATAACAAAGATACTCCGAGATGGACGCGAAGATTTAAAGACCCACGTGGACAATAACCAGCAAAGACAAAAGACTCGCTTTAACTCGCCGTAATAAACTAAACTGATGGAGGGAATTTTAATGAGAGACCGGGACAAAACAGGGTAGCAAATGACGTCCATTTCTTTGGCGTCGCGGCGATTTGCTGGCTAATTCTTCTGCGCATTACTACCAACTAATTGAAAGTCCAGAATATGCAATTAAATCTTTGCACAACTTAGCCGAGATTGTTTGTTATCTTAGGGGATGAGAAATTACCCCCAGAAACTTTTCCTACTTTGAAATTTTATTCCGTTTGAAATAGCCTTCAATTTTCCTTCCATTTTTATACAAATTTTACCTAACGTATCTTTGAACGATCCTTTACAACATTCACTATTTGAAAATTCCAAATCGTCTAATTGAATTGAACTGATTTAAATTGAAAACGTATTTTTGATTACGTATACAATGAACACGTTCGTAGAATAGCATCTAAATATCATTTCAAAACTAAACAGGTGGGGCCTGTTTTAATGACTCTGTAGACTTTACAGAGTTCATCGAAGTCATGAAGAAACCAGGCAATTATTTTAAATTGTGATGTGAAATCTATCTATTATGCTTTTGAGCATCGTGAAGTGTCCTTGGGTGGATTATGTGTTTAAAATCAAATTCGATGCTTAAATATGGATGGTTCCAAAATTGTTGCGTATTCCATTCAACATATAATTCTAAAGGAAATGTGAAAAGCCCAATTAGGCTTGAATTTAAGGTTGTTTCATTCGTAAAGGCAAGCTGTAAATATCAAACATCAATGTGACCTAAAATTACTCCCTCCGATTTGAGCTCAAGTTTACGTCTGTGGTGACGTCAGGGTAGCATAATGTAACAGCTGATTTACTGTAACAGCTGATTATGTTCCACCCTGGGGAGAAAAAGGGTCTTTTTAGCCCCACAGATATGGATCGAAAACAGCAATTTTTTATGCAGTGTGACAGGTAAAAAAGACAGGTAAAAATCTTAAATCAACCAAAGTAAGTTTTTGACATGTCCAATAAGTAGTTTATTGGAAACCCCCCTCCCCCAGAAAAAAATCTAAATTTCGAAAGTTATAGAAGGTAATATAAACGTAAACAATGAGTACAAAATGGGGATACATAGGTAAAATATGTAGTAAAAGACTAGAAGGGGGGATTGACACTTTGACTACGTTAGACAACTAGTCGTCTGCTCAGAAATCGGTTCTTGAGGCGGACAGAGAGGTTTGACCCAGGTTTGACCACGCCTTAATATAGGTTCTCATTAAGACACGCATATAGTGAGTGATTATTTTTGTTACGGACTTTTTAGCTAATTTCCCATATAGGGAATAAGCGATTGCCGTTGGTTTTATGGTAAGACCTAGACCCGGGGCCGATTAGCTTTTTTTCGTTTTGGGGTCCCCAGAGGCCAAAAACACCCTTCGTTAAAATTCATATATGTCCGTTAACACGATAACTTAAGCGATGATGAAATTTTGTACAAAGTGTAAACTTACATTTATTCGATTGGGTTCGCAAACCAGCATGATCTGACTTTGGGAACGGAATTTATGCGGTAAAAGTTGGGTTTTCCCTTTTTTTTTACCCTAAAACATAACATTTCTTAATAGCCTTCTAGCCATTCTGTGGAGCTTAAAATATAAATGATTTAGTATATTGACGTGTTGTTGTATGCCTAACGATTACGGAGATAATTCAAAAAAATTTTAATTTAAAATTCCCATGTTATTCTTATGGAGAATAAATAGACCGTTGTAGTTTTTTTTTTATGAATATGTTTCAATCAAATTTGGTTATTTCGTTTATTACTTTTCTTGTTTCTTTCGTAATTTATTTTACTTAGCTATCGACAATTAAATATAAAAAAAAAACTCACCTCACTACCTTTCCTGTAGCAGCAAACCTAAGTACTCAAAAAAAGAATGTTTTTAAATTTTTAAAAATTTGCCGATTTTAAAGGAATAGTTTAGTACAAATCCAGCCAGGTAAGGGAAATTCGCTTAGTCTGCAGGTTTTCTGCGGCGGGGGTATTTGATATTACTGGATTAAAACAGATGAGGTTAAAGTTTTAAGGAAAATAACTCGGTTCAATTTTTACAAGATAACATCACTCAAATAAATGGTTACCTTAACAGCTCTGAATGCTCTTTTTATATTGACAAGCTGTTAGAGATTACCGTGTTCTATGTTACTCTTTGTACAGCGTACTAAAAAGACACCGGAGGACTACTATCTTTTCTTACTCGCGGAGAGAAATAAACTTCTTTGTTGCAATGGACAATGAATACCTTTTTCAGATTTTTAAATACAATTTAGATCAAATATTAAAAATTTTAAAACCAATTTTCAGCAAAATACTAGGCTACTTTAAATATGTTTGGAAAAACCCCCATTTTTAAAAATGGGAGGGATACACGCAAAATAATATGTATTGTGTTAGTGAACATCATTTGTATCCGTAGTAACAGAATATTACTTATTGGACAGTTAACTTGAAACAAAAACTAATTCCCCAACTTGTCAAAACCCTTCCAAAAATGTCTACTTATTTACATTCCCTTGTCCCATTCAATCCAGTTGTCACAACCGTAAATATGATGGAACAGAATCAAACATCCAGGATTTACTTTGTGACAAAACAAACCTTTTGTTTCCTCCGTGATTGAATCAGAATCCAAGAGTTTATTGTATTTGTTGGAAACACTTGAACTTGCATACAGTAACCTTTGAACACTGTAACAATTGTTTTACTGTTCTAAAGTTGCGTTGTAATTTTATTGCAATTATATAAATTGTAATTTTGTTTATTTTTTTCGATTAGCCTACTTAACTTACATAAACTAAAATATTAACATTTTACTACTAAAATCTAACTTCAACAACTAAATCAGTGATTGGCCCAAACTAAACTTAAAAACTTCAAGACTCAAAAATTAAACTCTGAGGGTTCGCAAAGTATAAACTTAAACCTATTGACGTCACGAGAACAGGTGAGAGCTAGGGCGGACCACACCTCGTGATGACGCGCGCACGCACACTCTCACACGCACACACACCACCTCACCTGGTCTAGCGCATTCCTGGGGTATCCAGGGGATCAGCGGTGCGAGACACCATGAGACGTTATCACTACCGAGAAAAGGGTGAGATACGAGCGACGAGCTACGCGATCGCGGCAGAGAGCTACTGAGCTGGGTCGGGTCGCAGACCGGGCGGTAGCGCCTGCCTCCCCCAGCACCCTACTGGCACTGGCACTAGTGTTTATCACAATTTCAAATTCAACTTACACTGTCACGGCGGTGAATAAACCAATACAATATCATAAATTACATAGAGCTAAAAATTAAACGTTGTGTCACATTTTCAATTACACTGATACACACATTAATACGGTCAAACCCACTCTGTTGTACAGAATACCACGGCAATACTGTGTCATTCCAATTACATACTGATACACTGAACTACACTAAACACTGTGTAGTGTGTACCCACTATGATGGGGCTGCTACAATGATGCACTTTCATACTCTACCACGAAATTATAGTGTGATACTACACACGCACTACAGAACTATTGCACTGACAAAGTGTAAAACTACAGTGTCACCGTTTCAATTGCACACACTACTTACAGTGCTCCCTTGACAATCAAAAGGTCGCTGGTTCGATCCTGAGAAAAGTCAAAAACTTTTTGATAAATCGAAACTGGACCCAGCTGTCCCTGATCATTGGGATTGAAATAAATAGATGTTACCCACGGACATCACCCAGTTTGACTTCATAAGTATTAATAAAACTATTGATTGGTTAAGTTGAGCTGAAATAAACAAAACAGAATGCAGTCATACAAATAATCAAACCTGATTTTATTAAGGTAGCCCAATAAATTGAAATAAAAACTTACAAATAAGTACATGTGAGGTATTTTTAACATTAGGTATATGGAAAGTTTCCTTTAGAATGGAATTACGATCTTAAAGGGCAGTTGATTAAATAATGGGTAGTTTTCGCAAGGTTTCTCGTCATGACGAACATTTTAAGTATATGGTCTATGGGGGTCTGACTTCAAAGTTAGTTTTTTCAAAAGTTCATGGGTACTTTGGGATTTACATATGGATGATCTTGGCCTATGAAACAGCTTATCTCAGTAAGTACATAACAAAGTTACACAGATTACCTCAAAACAATCTACACTCATCCTTCACTCATATTTTTTAGTTAAAATACGCACCTAGGTGACGTCCCCATCTCCTAATGATAATGATACTATTTATTATTCGCTACTAAACTGTGTCTCATTGGCTGTTTGTTAGATTTTATACGCAGAGTGCCATAATCTACACAACGAACTGTAATCCCGTCAAACAAAGTAGGAATAATCCGATGTAAAAAGAAATAGACACGATTCCCTAAATGTTTTGATCTGAAAAGGGGGTTTACGTTTATATTGTCACCTCGTAAAAATAAGCATGCAGATTACAGCAATGGAATAAAAATCTCAATATATTACAGCATTAACCACTAATCAATAGAAAAATATTTACGAAATATTATTAAACTCTAGGTCTTTTTTTTATTTATCATGCCACATTTATCATCAAAAATTAGAGTTACTAAAGCTTAAAGTAGGTACTAAGTTTGGGGAAGCTTTAAGTACACACTGTTGTATTAAATTCCCTGAGCTACTACAAGCTACTACACAAGTCCTTCAGGGCGGCTTATTTACGGCTCTAGTGTTTTATGTTGAGTCGCCAGCCTAAATATTTACCCAACAAACACTTCTCACATTCGCGTGGGAAAATATCAAACACTTATGGAGTTATATCTACAAGCATTTTAGTATTCTTCAATGATTTTGAAGTACACGCAATTGTTTGGGATTGATAAGAGGTTGATGGGTTATGTAATATTAAATATATGCGGTTTGAAATTTAAGACTTTTTATGTTAGCTAAATACTTTTTACAAAACGAAATGAATAATTTTAATACATCTTAACTGTCCAAGCACATCTTGTTAAATACGATATAGGCCTAGCTAAAAAATATATTTATTATCAAACTATTCTAATTTGAGCGCCACACTAATATATTTTCGTGTTATGGAAAATTATAAAAACTATTAAAAGTATAATGACTGTAGAAAGTATTGTAAAAATTATATTTCTGTTTAGTAACATTAATTTAAACAATTGTGATTTTCTTTTATTTTACAAAATAAGTTTGTCCTTTTCGAAGGTTGAGTTTTAACGCTATTTATTATACATAAATTTATGTCAAAAATATAACAGATATCATTTAATTACACATTTAATATCAACTTGGTTATAAATGTACAATTTTTGAGCAAACATATCGTAAAAATAAACCAAACTTTTGCGCCAACGCAGCACCTATTGTATGATTGTAAAATTAAATTAATCTTGTATATTACTTTTGTTGGTACAGCAGCTGAACAATGCAGTTGCTGATTTGCACAATGTAAATATTGTTATTGTAAATATTATATTAACGAAATATATTAGTGTATTAGTGAAGGATATTAGTGAAATATTTGAACAGTATAATATTATTGAGCGGAGCGAGCGAAGCGAGCGAAGCTCTTTGGGATCAACTTCAATGCAAACAATATAACACCATCACTCAATAACGGCTGAACACATTTCAGACAAACTTAACAAGACTACTTAGACTAATAATGAGATGGTTTGTAAACAAACAAATTTCAATTAGACAATGCTAATGCAATTTAAAACGAAATTAAAATTTCAAATTTTTAACATTAGGCTTATGGGACTAAAGTAGCTATGACAGTTTTTTTGTTTACAAGAAAAATGTAAACAAGAGAATCATAAGGTATTTCTGAACTTTCTATACTTTTCTTTTAAACGTTTTTAAACCATTCTTATAATTTTAATAAACAAGAAAATGCCGTTAAAACATTTTTTAAGGCGCGGAATTCACTGAAAATCGAGAAATTATACGGAACTACTTTCTCAATGCGCGGAGCATAAACAAGGAGCGGAGGGATACGGACCGGTGACTACTTTCTTGGGAACCTATTTGTGTTGCCAGCTGATTAGAAACAGCCAATGTTAGAAATCAGGATTTAATAAGCGATATATCGAACCGCATCGAAATCGGTATTTAATCCGAAAATACCTCATAGGTTATATTGAGTTGAATTACATCGACGGTACAGTAAGTTATTACACTTATTGATAAAACGCAGATTGAACACTGATCTAATTTAGGCAGGTGGGGAGGTAGGTCGGGGTTTATGAGTATTCGTGACTACATTAAGTGTTTTGAAGTAAGGTTAGATTAGGAAGGTAAAGTGTAGGTTATAGGTAGGTGATCGGGTTGTTTATTTGTGTTGCACCATATAATTTTTATCTTTTGGAATGGAATAGTTGGTTAAGGTTAAACGGGGAAACGATTTCAAAAATGCTTGCATATGGTCTTAACTTAACAAACCATCTACAGTATTCTAGCTTTGACTTTATATGAAGTCAATGATTCTAGCAAATTATTACATACTGACCAAAAGAAAAGAGAACATTTGGTTTTGGATCTTTGACCATAGCAAAACTAACATATAATTTATGGAATGTGAAAAGTTGTATATCATTATATACTATTCTGTAATATTAATAATTGTTCGGCAAATCCTCATTTTAATGGCTCGGCTGAAAATGGAATCTGCATTTTGTGAAACAGTTATTTGGTAACAATTCAGTCATTTCAAATGTTGATAAAATTTCCTTTCTCTTTTTTATACTTTAATGCCCTTTTTGGATGTTAATATCAGATTCCAACTACTGTAATATTTTCCTGGTCAAAACTACCTTACACTTCTCGAAGAGGTAAATTTTAATTATTATTATTATTTTAATCTTTAAAACCAGCATTAGTAAATAAATCTATTGACCTTTTTGCATTTAGTTACTTATACAAATATCAAATCACGTTTGTTCCGCTCAACTGGCTTTCACCTCTCTGAAAGCAACCCTAGTTTTACTTTGGAGTTTGCAAGTAGTTCTATACATGTAGTTAATCTAATGCTTGTTTGTTGTGGTGACGTTTGAGTAAGATTTGTTGACCAAATATAACAATTATTTAGGATCAATTTTGTTGGGTACACATTACAGTTGACTGGGAAGACTTACAAGAAAGAAGTTACAGTGGCGTCGTCCTGTAATCTAACTACTAGGAGGTCATGCAGTCTGGATATTTATTGCTATGAACTGTATATGTGATATTCCCTGGTGTGGATTAACGTCCGCACTAGTGAGTACTACGACTATCCGCAGTACCAATCTATTGATTAGACCAATTCGTCAATTACAAGGGAAAATGTAATTCGGATTCTACTATAAACTGTGGGTCCCTTAGTTGTCATGGGCAATCAATTAACAGCTGCGTCTAAGCAAAGGAACATGTCGGCCTTAGTCACTAACAAGACTACAAGATCGCACTACTACTCAACCTTCACTCATATTTTGGTTATAATACGCACATAGTGGCGTCCCCATATTAAATAATTGATATTGATTGATTTTATTCTCTTTGGAAGGGGTAAAGGAGTTAGCCTATTTGATTCCGCCAGAAAATAAGAAGTACTTTACAAATACATAAGTTGGTATATTTTTTTGTAGTTTTAAGGTCAGTAAACTAACCTAAAAATAAAAAATAAATTACTCGAGCATTACCGACCCTACAAACAGGTTTGCCAATAACAATTGCCAAGATAACCAGAATGTATTTACGAGTGTTATTTTCAATAGACATAATTAATTTTCTTAGGTTTTTTGCAAGCAAAAAGACAGACGGAACATCGGTTTGGTTTCAAAAAATACGAGACAGGCATACAAATTTTCATCTTGCACTAATTAGATCATAGAGGCTGTGTAATCATTTACATAGTCCATATCCAAACCTTTGTGTGATTAATCGTCATTAAACAGCAGAAAATAATTATACTGTTTGTTCATTAATTATTATATAGCATATGTGTAAATCAATGATTACTAATTATTAATCTTTTCGTGATGATTTAGGTGATTGTTTATCGACCACAATGAGAGACTTGCAGGGGTTTAAAAAAATCAAACACGATTTGCATTTGAAGAATTCCTTTAAAACCAGGAAAATGTGTGCAATGTTTAAAAAT